AGCATGGCTGGGAGTCTCCATCAGGAGCAATAACTTCTTTCTGACTTTTGGGCAGCCACCTAAACCCACTGCTGTTTGCGATTCTAGGGTATCGTGAGCCTAGGCTGTTGAGTTTTTTCAGGGCATGGTTTTTTCAGGCATGCTGAGTATGAGACCAACAAGCTGAGTTGTGGGGGTTGGCAGAGCACAAGTGGCTTGTGGTCCTGTCACCGTGGCTCTGGGATTGTGTCCCCCTGTTCCTTGCATTGGCCTCCTGCTGCTGCTTTGAGTGAATTGGCTGGGTGTGCTCCACAGTTGAAAGAGGGGTGCCACATTTCCCTCTCTGGGGTGTGTTGGGGGGAGCAGTTGGTCCCTCCCCAAGTTCCTGTGTCACCCTCACAGCTGGGGAACATCTGGCTCTTTGCTGGGTGGATCAGCAGGAGCTCCTAGTTGGAAATGTGAAGGATGCATGCTGGCTTCAGGCAACACGGGTGTAAACGGCTCTCCTTGGAAGTATGTCAGACCTCCAGTTGACTTGCCATCTTCCTGCTCAATCCCAGTAACTGTGCTCCTGCATGAATTTGCCTAGCTCCTGCCCAGGTACCTGTTGTCATTAATTATCCATGAGGGGAAAAGAATGTCCTGATGACTCTATTTAGTGAGGGTGTTGGAATTTGAGCGCATGGGTTGGGGCTGGCTCAGCACAGCCCACTGGTAGCTTTCGGTGATCTCCTAAAGCCTCTGCAAAAGCCTGTCGAGTCACTTGGGAGCATTGCAATGGAAAGCTGATAACAGCAGCGGTATGGAAATAGAGCTGAAGGGATTGGGGTTTTTAAACTGGTGGCTAACTTGGACAAGGCTTAGCTGTGCTTAAACTGGTTATGTCCATCAGATTCGGTTATAGATGATTCAGCTCCAGCACAGCGGAAGCCTTTAAACCGTAGTCCTGCACCTCAGCACCCCAGCCCCCTCACCCTGGGCTCCTTCATATGCCTGTGGTTTTGGAGGAGCCCATCTTTGTGATGATGCCCTCCAAGAAGACAACTTGCGAGGAGCTGGAGCCCGACCTGGAGCTTTCCATAGTTCAGAAAGCCAGCATGTGCAGCTTCCCCACCATTACCTCAGCACTGGCGTTGGTGACAGTGGTGTCGCTGTTGTTTACCCAGGAAGCTGATTGTCTTTCCTCTCAAAAGTCTGGAGAGAGAACGAAAAAGGAGTATACATCAGGCAGTGTGGGGCTTGGGTCACCATGTGTAGAGAGGCCACAGCACTCAGGTGCTGCCAAGAGCAGATCAAATCAGCCATTGCAACTAATCGCAGGTGATGACGGGGTTTAGCAGATGCCTACAGCAGTTCTGGGGGAGCAGTGTTCCTTTTTGGCCCCAAACTTTCCTCCCAGGCCACCCCTGCCAGCTATTTTCCCAGGGAGTGGGGAGGGAAGGGTTGGTGCCCTCTTGCCCGCTCCGGCTAACCCTGCTTCGGGCTGGTGGTCACCCTTGAGGTGGTCACCCTTGCTCCGGCGGCCACCTCTTCCCGACAGCCTTCGCCTGACTCAGGGGGGATTTAGTCCTGGGCTGGGCTGGGGGGAGGGAAAGACGTTAAACAGGCTTTTCCCTAATGAGGTGTGACGCCAGCTGGAGAGGGGGAGAATCCTGCTTTTCTCCTGTCTGTTGCTCTCTCCAGCTAGAGGAGGAGGAGGAGATGTATCTCTCCCCCCCCCCTCTCTCCTTCCTCTGCTGATTTGCTGCCTCCCTCTTCTGTTTCCTTTCTGTGCCGTCCCCAAAGCGTTTTGGCAAGGTTCAGATTTCTGTGCTCACAGCTCAGTGCTCAAAGAGAAAAGGGGAAAAACAAAAGGGTTGGAAGCGTGGGGGGGGATGGTGGCGGGGAGGAAGCTCAGCCATTCGCTCCTGGTCAGGCCGAAGGAGTCCAGGGACTCGCGGCCACGAAGGAGCCCAGGGACCAGCAGCCGTGGGCAGGGTTTGCCCTCAGGACCAGGGTGGGCTTTGGTGGCCTCTTTCTCCTGGGAGCCCCTGGCATCACTTCTGCTCAGATGTGCCACTTGAGCACCCTGCCGCTTTGCTGGCCCTCCCTTCTTGGAGGGGAGGGCTGGAAAAACAAGGTTTATTCCTCTTCCCGCAAAACGTGGGCTGAAGCATTAGGTGGAAACCCGAGGGGATCCTAACTCTTCGTTCACACTCTTGAGACATTAAGATTTGCATCGTGTCCTCCTGGTCCCTGGTGCTTCCGTAGAGCTCTGGACACGTGTGAAATGTCCAGCGTTTAGGGGCAGAAAGCTGGAGAATCCAGTGGGATAGAAAATTGTGACATTCGGTTAAAAAGGGCCAAGTCCTGGGAACCCAGGGGACCTGGGAACCCGGTCCTGGGAACTTCAAGTGCCTCTTGCTGCTCTTGCCCTATCGCAATCAGCAACAGGAAAAAAAATGTAGACAAAAACTTAACAGGACAACGCCAGTGTGTTATTTCCAAGACAGATAATCATGGTAGCACTTGGACTGTGCCTTTACCATAACCCACTGGCACCAGGTGTGACTGTTGGTAGGGACCAGAGCGGGCTACAGGCAGCACCCTGCTCATGGCATCAGGGAGCAAGGTGCAAGTGCCTTTCTACAGATGTGATGACAGCCTCACGCCTGCTAATGATGGACCTTCGTTAGCCCCGTCCTATGTGTGTGCTGATTAATCCCAACTTGTGGATTAATCACAATTAAACAGGGCCTCTGTGCTGGGATTCCACGTTGGTCTGCGTGCCCAGTGCCCCTGTTGGGTCCCCAAGTTGGTGCTGTACCTGCCATGGTGGCAGGGACGAGGAGCACCCATCCAGGAGAGAGGAGGCAGCAAGAGAGGGGGGGAAACTCCCCCGCCAGATGTTTTGAAGAGGAGTGGTGGGTCCCTGCCCAGGACACAGCACCTTGCCCAGTGCCTGAGAAATGTCCTCCAGCTCCTGGGGTGACCCCACCAGCCCCGAAAATGTAAAGGTCGCTCCTGAGCCTGGAAAACAATGGCTGTAGATAGGGGCTATCTGAGCCGGTTGTGGCCACTGCTTAAGGAGTCAAACAGCAGACTGAAAAGGCTCACGGGAAGCAATTTAAATATTCCTTCATACAAAAGGCTGTCGCATCCCAGCAGAGGCAGGCTGCTGACTGACAGCTCTAGTGCACAAGTGTACACGGCTGAATATGTGTGTGTGGAGAACATCCTGAAGACTTACTTTCCCCCCTGTCCTTTATTCTGGGTCCTAGCATCATTTTTTCACAAGCTGCAGGTTCACTGTGGTAACACACCTGGGATGTTCTAGCAAATCACATACTATGTTGGCACCCCCCCAGGTATATTTTGTTAGAAGGCAGATGTCCACTAAAGTAATTTACAAATAAAATAAGCCAACGCCTCCAAAATGCTAACTGCTTACCAAGTGAATTCGCGCAGTAATTGCTATTTATATAGCATGATTGTTATTTATACAGCAATAATAGCTCGCTCTCTCCGAGGAATGAGAAGCAACTGCAGTTTTTGTATTAACTTGTCATTAAGCAGGATAGTCGTCTAGAAGCCAGAACAGTGATTCTCTGGGCTTTTCCTAGCTCTGCAGCAGGGACGCTGTGTCAGGCTTTGGCTGCCCCCCGCCCTTTCCTTGCCTCGAGTTTCCACATATAATGCATGCATTTAATAGATTCCTCACAGGGCAGGTGTCAGGCTTCTGCTCGTGAAGCACTTTGGATGTGGCACAAGAGGTAAATAAGAGCGGCGTTGATAATGAAAATATGCCATTAATACATTTCCAATAAAAAACTACAAGCGGCATTTAATCTGCAATCTGTTATCAATAATTTTATTACCGCAGTTACTGCGGTCTAATAAAAAAGCACTTTCTCTTCTTTATTGGGTAAGTGCCAAAACGTTTATCCTTTATTCTCTGGCCATTAACCTTTATTCTGTAGCCATTAGCTTAGCCATTTGTGTAACAGTCTGCTGAGTAACATTCAAGCAGGAGTTTGTATTCAATCCATTATTTACTCTGAGACCCAAAAAGAATAGCTTCTTATGCCTATGTTGTTTATCCATATTAAATCTTGTTAAGTGCTGCGTACTGCCAATGATAAGTCTTATAGGAAGTGGGGTTTTTTTCTTACTGTGAATTATATTCTGGCATAGAAATGAAACTGTAGTTAACCCAGTAATATTTTGTAAACAAAACTTGAAATTGCTAGATGAAAACCAGATATTTCTCACAACGTGCGAAATTTGTGACAACTGCATTTCAGAAGTTTATTCTTTTTCTGGATGGGTTGCTGCTTCACACCTTTATGTGAACTCCATCGTGCTGAAATAAGCCATGATACTCTCCACCCCTCCGCCAAGGGTTGAGATTTTGGGTCATGAGGTCTGACATCCCTCCATCCTTTCATTCTCTCTTACTGGAGGGGAAAAAGAACAAAACCAAAGAGAAATAAGTTAAATAATCAAAATGCCTGCTTTTCTTTGAGGCATCTGCTTGCTAGCTTTCAGCCATTTCTGGCTATCCATCTGAAACTGCTACTTCTCTCTGTAAGTGGCTTTTAGAGCTTTCTGAGCACATCTTTTAAATGAACTCACCAGCCTTGGTGAGTGGAAAGCAAAGCAGGAGAATTAAACTGTTGATTCCTGCCCATCAGCTGAACATGGGAGAAAATCATGGGTTTCTTATTAGGCTGTAGCATCTCAACCTCACTGAACCCTATTTTTCCTGTTTCCAGACAAAAGCATTAGTCTTCTGGCTGGAGAGTGACATTCGGTAAAAGCCTTTCAAGGTCTTCCCATAAACTCCTGCAGCAAAGAGGTAGTAGTAGCAGTATTTTTAATGAAGGGGAAGGTCGCCTTACCCAGCGTATGCTCTGCTGCTCTACACATGCTTGAGGCTGCTTGGGTCTTTTCGGTCCTGATCAGCCAGCAGTAAATTTTAAGGAATTAGTCTGATGGTTGGAATTTTTATTTTTTTTTTTTTTTCTCTCCCTGCTCATTAGGAACTGGAAGCTGCTCTTCACAGGGATGATGTGGAGTTTATCAGTGACCTGATCGCCTGCCTTCTTCAAGGTTGCTATCAGCGCAGAGACATCACGTGAGTAACCTCGCTCTATGGCTTAAGCGCTTTGCAAGGGGAGCTAATTAACGCGGTCGCGGGGATGTTTCACGGCTTTAGAGCCATGACGTGGCGGTGATCGGCAGCCACCAGCAATCAGGCCAGATGCTTCACGGAGTGGAAGGGAATTCCAGCTCCTCTTGGGTTGAGTTGCAGGTTTTTAATTGTACGGACCCATCGTTAAGCGAACTTGTTTGCTCAGATCCCATGCAGATCTGCTTGTAGCTCTACAGCATCCAGTGAACGTTCACATCTGCTGTTGTGCTCTGCGCTCTGTTTGGTCAAATTAGTGATATCACAGTAAGTCTTTAAATGATCACATATGTTTTTAACATTTTATATGTGTTGTATGGAATAAAACGTGCTGCTCTGCAGCCACCTCACTGACATGGGAGATCCCATTGCTTTACGGAGGGACAACTGTAATTATTTTCTTGGAAATAAGAGGAGCGTTGGAACTGGCTCACTTGCAGGATGTTGGAAAGCAATTTGGCATGTTCTCCTGATGTTTCAACATCCGGAGACACTTCGTTAGTGTCCACCAAAGTAACCTCCCAGGCGGATTACAACTATAGAACATCATTCTTTGGAGATGCAGTGAATGTGCTCCCAGTGATAACGAAGGCTTGTTGTGGTGTGTTTTACTTGTTCTTCTGTGAATCATAGTACCAGCAAAGCATAATCGTGGAGATGAAGGCAGCTTGGCAACGTTTGCAGTTGCTTAGAAGAGGTGTTAGGCTGCTCCCTAAGATTCTCCTCTTGCACAGAGGCTTAGACTGGTGCATTGGCATAAATATAGGTGCTTGCATTGCAAGCTCTGTTTCAAATTAACTGATTACGTTCAACAAACTTTATGTAGTTTATTTTTTTAGCTATATCTGGCGCTTCAGTAGATTTTCTTGCCCTGCTGGGTTGACGTTCAGCATAAGTGTGTATCGGGACCTGAACCAGGCAGCTGCACTGTGTTTACTGTCTCTGAATGAAACTGATGTGATGAGAAGCTTGATTGTGAAGGGACTGCCATCCTGTATAGCTCCTTCACCAAAATAACCACAGAGCAATATCATCTTGCTTATAAACATGCAGCAAGTTTATTTCTTCATACCAGAAAACCCAGCAAGTAGTGACTAAAGTGTTTTGACCGCCTTAACCGGCTCACCCGTGTAGAAGCAGGGAAAAATATGTCTTTGATAAATTTCATAAATTCAAGATTGCGAGGTTCTCCTAATCTCTCCAGATCTAAGTGTCCACTTAGCAACTGCACGGTTTGATTGTCTCCTCTTTCTCAGCTGTTTTAACTTACTGAAATCAGGGATGAATCACGGGTGAGTTGTTGGGCATTGGCAAGTTGTCCATCTGTCCAGGGAAGGTTACACACGCACACATACCACATACACTCATGCACAGTTCCCTGGCAGCTCAACAATGTGTAATTACTCAGCATCTCGTGTAGGAACCACTTTGTGCCTGTGTAAATATGGTTTTGGTTAACTCGGAGATGCAAAAGCTGCAAGGAGGTAATGTGGTTGGTAGAAGGAAGAGCTGGTAACCCACCCGTGGCTTCGTGCAGCATGGGTAGGTGCCTACGTAGCTGTTGCTGGGTGTCTGTCCACGCACGAGAGGTGCTGTAGGAAATGGAGGAGTGCGAAGGCATGTAGTGAAGCTGTGAGAACTTACACCTCACCCGAACGTCTGCGCCAGGGAAAGCACAAGGTGCCTGAAGGAGAAACGCGCAGCACCTCCTGTAGAAGGGGATGCCCTCATGGGCAGGACAATAACAAGAAAAGGCCTTTTTGCAGAGGAGATGGGGGAGAAGTGCACAGCAGGAGCAGCAGGGTGGAAATGGCTGAAGGAATATAGCAGGAAAACTGCCTGGAGCCACTGGGAGGTTAGGGAGCTGGTCTCTGAAGCACTGCAGAGGAATCAATGGGGGAAGCTGCCTGGAAACAGAGGGAAAGGGGCTGTATGGAGAGGGATGTCATGAAGGAAGAAGCACTGAGGCATAGTCTAAACTTGGAAATGTATAGAGAAACGAGAATAAAAACGATGGCTTGCATACACTTCTGAGAAACAAACTTGCCCCACTGTTTGTTTCATGCTTTCAAACCAGCCATGGAATATTTATCCAAAATGAATGTGTGTTTTTAAAGCCTAACATTTTCCGTGTTCCTTACACATTTGTTTCCAACACCTTTGTTCCCTCTAACCTGAGTTCAAGAGTCATAGGCTTCGGCTAATGCACAGTTTCTCTACCATACCTAGTTTGTCCCCAGTTAATGGTAAGGACTTGAGGCGCTAATTGATCTTTTGAGTGCTCAGCAGACAAAGATATGCAAATGTAAGAGGTGGAATTTGTGCTGAGTTTAGAATTGACTTTTCACCGTGGGTCAGGGCTCTGTATTTTTGTGTCGCGGATGGGTAGTAAGTACCTGTCTCATGTGGGAAAAATCAGCAGTTCCACAGACCATCACAGTGGCGTTACAGCAGCAATTTCTCTGCTCATTTCTGCTCCACATCCTCATGCCGAGGCTGTGAGCTGTTAATCTTTAGGTTATAAACTTCTCTCCCTGTTGTACCTCGGAGGGGAAGGTAGGAGCTTGTTCTCATCCTTGTTCTTGGGCTGGAGCACTGAGGCTCAAGCACAAGATGCTTCATATAACCTCATATAAAACATAGTTTACCTACCTCTCCGAGGTTTAATTAGTTTTGTATCGTGTCTTACGTCTTTGATGGCCAAAATGTCATCTGTCTATGCTTTCTCACAGTCCATCTGGGAGCAGCTTGTAGTTCTTGTCACATCTGTTTTGACGGCGGGCAGAACTTGCGGCTGACCTGGGCTGCCTGGCTTTAATCATGCATCATAGAGGGGTATAAAACTGTCACATACCTTTGCTAATTATAATGTGCTCTCAAGTAATTTTGGAAGTGGAACCTAGCTGAGAGCCCTTCTAATGCACAATTTAACATACTCCACTTTGATTTGCTTATTATTCTTTTTTCAAAAAATTACATTAATTCTTTTGTAGGGTTCTGTCATTCTTAGTTTTGAAAGAGCAACTTTGCCTTGGTTTTGATATTCTTTACGACAGATTTTTTTTTTCTTAAAAAAAAAAAAGGAATTACATATGAGAGAGACTGGTTTTTACCCTGCTTGATGGCTAAGGAGAGTTGAATGTCTCGTAACCTAAAACTTTCTTTGAGTTATGGATATCTGTGTTTAACTTCAGAGACTACTTAATGGTAGGCCACAGGATCTTCTCCAAATTCTTATTTTTCATAGCCTATAATAGCTGTTAGGAGCACTCTTTGTTGACCTGGTTCTTGCTGTGTTAAGCACTGTAGAAGTATAGAACAGAAAAAAAGATGGGAATCTGCACTTCTTGCTTCTAGCATCTTCAGCGATGACCCCGTAGCTGTCCTTGCTTGTCACTGGGTGGTTTGAGCGCTTGGCCAGGACAGTTTCGCTGTGGCTTTCTTCTTTTTGCTCTGACCCAAAATAGTTTTGTGCCATGATCTGCAGCTTTTGTTGTTCTATGAGTAGCTGTCATATACCACCCGTACCGCCTAGCTGTTAACCGCCTAATAACTAATATCCTTGAAGCTTTTTGTATGATCTCTCTGCTCAGTTTTATGCTACAGGCACCATTTAGCTTGATGCCAGTGAGTTTACCCATACATTTTTTCCCCTGCCTCTAGCTTTTGTGCACAGGCTTTGAAATGTCTATGTTGTCTTTTAATTGTTTCAAAATGCAACTGCCCGGACAGCAGGGAGTGAGGAGGGAGAAAACTCTTCATAGAACTGGGGGTTTATAAAGAATAAATAAAAATTAAGCAGTTTGAAAAAATGCTGGTGCTTGCTTCAGATTCTCTCTGATATAAATTGGGCAGCTGCACAGTCCCTAGGGGCTGCCACTTTAATTCCAGCAGGAAATGCGACTTGATGACTTGTATCAAGACAGGAAGATCAGAGCTTCAGCTAACGGCAACAGCCGCAGCAGGAGCCTTCTGCAGCTGTTTTTAAGTAAGAAGTGATGGTGTGACATGGATGTGTACACTCAACTAAAATAATCCAGAAAAGCTCCTGCTGTTCAGCATTTCTCTGGGTGAAACTCATTCTTCACTGCTCTGTTATTGCATTTTTGCTATTTTTCTGATGTGATGGCATAAAAAGTTTCAATGACTTTATCATATTTCTTATTGGGAGACGTGTTTTGTGTGCTGCTATTGTCTCTTGAAAAACATTTTAATCGCTTTTTCTTATAACATATTTTATTTTTTGGGTTTTTTTGGTTTTTTTCAACATGGGTAAAGGTTCCAGAAAGTGAGGAGGAAGAAAAACAATACCTCTGCTCTTGCCTATGCCCCATTAGACTTTTTTTTTTAATTATAGCCCAGGAGATTGGTCCCTCACTGTAGCTGAAAGCTATCTAATTGACTTCTGTGGCACTATAGACAGCATTTGGTTCCTTAGGAACCTCAATTTTTTTTTGTTGTTGTTATTTCTTTCCTTAATGCATTGGAATTTTTTTTCCCAAGTGGATCGTCTGTTTTGCACCCACCTTAAGTTCTTTCTGGATCTGCAAACTAACCTTGGAGTCTTTGGCTTCTAGTTTGTGCCTGGCTTGTTCTAATATGGATAATAAGGAGATATTCTGCAACTCCTCTTCCTTCCCCTGCAATTGTCTTAATTATTTCTTTCGTATCCTTAGTGGTGGCATTGAGAAATACTCCCAGTATGGCATCTGAAGAGCTGTGTTCCCTACTTGTTGCATTGCCAATCAAGAGTACTGCCTCTATTCTGCTTGTTTTCTAATGCTTGTTTGGTAATCATTTATTTGAGCTATAATCAGAAAGAGATACGGGATAATCTGAAATCTTCTAACTCATTGGGGAAGAATGCCCATTTCTGAGGACTGTGTTTAATAGCTCTGAATATTTCACTTCTTTCCTCTGCTTTTCACTTTTGCCCATCCATGTCC